TTATAAATACTATAACAGTATATAAATAACACTAAAATATCACTGTTGACATCAGAGTACCACCTCTTTAGTAAGGTCATTGTAGACTGGTGGGTACATGCTGACTTTGATGGCCTCTGGGAGAACTCTATCGGACACTCGGGCCACTGCTGTGCGCATGATGATTTGAGGAGAAAACCCCACACTGACCACGTCTCCTTGTGGGTGCAGAGGTTTCTTCACAAGAACTTTGTGCTTCTTCATCTTCCTCCATCATTTTCTAAAAAGAAACACCCATCTTTAAAGTTTGATTTCCAGGCGTCATAGGTCTTGCACATAATTCTGTCTGCAGTGAGTTTATTCCTGTACCTGTAGTTTTTGCTTGAGCCTTTGGAGTCTGCTGGAACTATAGCAGGTCAGGGATTCTATAAGCGAGCACAGATCTGTCTCACAGTTACCGTCATCCTCGTATTCACTCTCCTGTAATAATCTAAAAACACAAATGAGTTTCAGTTCCTATTACTCTTGCACATAGACACTGTAATTGGTATGTTGTAAGGGTACTTTGTAACAGCCCAACCTTGGAGAGGTTGGAGGCCGATCAAGCAGCGTTATCTCCAGCTCCTCCAGCAGTGTCTCCCTCTGTAGGTCAGGCATGGAATGGCATCCCTGAGAGGGCAGAAGGAGAAATCATTAAGGATGATATAATGTCTACATGTAAATGTTTGAAAACTTGCAATATGGAATTTGTGCATTGGAATTGATCAAAAACCCCCTGGTCACCTTTATTCTGACCAACGGGTTTTGACGGGGACTCTGATCCTGCTCTTGTTTCAGTATATTAGACATACTGGTTTTAGAACCTGGGCACATGCACAAATTAAAGTGTCCTGATGTCACATCCTGAATTATAACCCGTCACTTTAAAGGGATAGTTCACCCAAAAATAAATATTCTGTCATTTACTGACCCTCATGTCAATCCAAACCTGTATGACTTTCTTTCTTCTGTGAAACACAAAATAAGATATTTTTAAAAAATATTGCTACTGTTTTCCACATTTCTGGGTAGTACCTGATCATATGTAATCTGGATTATGTAATCAGATTCCAAAAGTGAAATATTTGTAATTAGATTATATTACGTTTTAAAATACTCATAATCAGACTAGTTACTTTTTTACTGATTACATGATTACTTAATATACACAAAACTCCACACAGTATATACAGTACAAATAAAATATTTTTAATGCAAAGTTTAATGCACTTCACGTTGTTGCTAACAAAGAATAAAATACATTTCTTTATTTCTTAGTATTTTTGTATTGTATTTTTTCTTTATTTCTTTGTATTGTATTTATATAAACGATTATCAAAGAAGATTATTCTACTCAAATCAATATGATAAACACGTTAGGTCACAAATAAAAGGTTCAATGTAATATATTATGTTACTAACTACAATTATTATGATGTAAATTTGTATTCAGTAATGACTACAATTGGTAAGTAATTACCCAGCACTGGTTTTCCGTATAATGAAAGTTAATGGGTCCAAAGCAACTTTGTACCTGACTGACTTTCACCGTAAGGAAAAAACAACACTGAAACTTTTTTTTTTAATATCTTCTTTTGTGTTCCATACAGGTTTGAAACAACATGAGGGTGAGTATACAATGACAGAATTTTCACTAAACTAAACTATCAATTAAACTATCGGTGTATCTTGCCGTACAATGTGTGTCTGTCTTGTAGGTAATTGGCTCCATGTTACAGGGCAGGAGGTCATACACATGTTGCAGATCCAGCTCTCCAATTTTCTCCTGAATCTGGACACACAGAAATTCATTAATATAACCTCACTGTCTCTCTTTACAACATGCACACACACAAACACAAACACACCTCCTTGAGGTCATCCTCCACAGCTTTTTCCCATGGTGTGGCCGTCATGGACCTCTCATTGTTATGAGAGCGCATATGTAGTGCGTGTGTAACAGCACTTTGTCTGACCCTCCGTGCATTCTTGATTCCTGTGACAATCCTGCATCTTATGGATCGGACATTCAAGCTGTAAATAGAAATAGTCACAATCTGCTGTGAATAAGTAATATCATGATATACTGTATATCACCATATTGTGTGATCAAAGGCTGTTTATGTCAATGCAATCTAGGTCAAAAGAATCATACTCACAGACTGGTGCAGTCAATAGCGAGCTGAGCTGCCACCCTGCTGCGGTTGACATGGTCGCTGAAGACACCTCGCCTCCGTAGAGTCTCCATCAGTTGCAGGGAGTGCAGAAATAGCTGCTCACAGATGTGCAGCACCTCACTGAATGTCTGGCAGTGCAGCTGCACTTTCTCTTCCTGGGTGAGTGTGGTGTCCACAGGCGGGGTTTTCAGGTCCTGCTAGATCAGACCCAGCTCAGAGATCAACACTGCAGTCTGAATGTCAAAAGCAAAAAGAAAAGGCATATATCATGTAAACTCATTCAGAAATCAATTTATACTTCTGAGAGTATTTTAAGTTTGCTATTGACTGCAAAAACATATACTGTACAACTGTACAACTCAAAATGTTTGATTTGGCTTTATATATATATATATTCATGTTTTTGAATATATATATATATATATATATATATATATATATATATATATGTGTAGCTGTAGTATGTATATACATATATATTTTTTCTAATAAATTGAAATGTCAAAATGAATGCTGTTCTTTTTAAAGTTTCCACAAAAAAATTAAGCAGCACAACTGTTTTCAACATTGATATTAATAAGAAAT